ATATACACAAAATATATTTATAATATGTTTTTGAAAAATTTTAAAAAGTTTTAAACAGTTTTTTTATATTATTATTATTATTATTTAGGAAAAAATATACACTTGATTTAGTTATACTGTTATTAACAACTATTATTATTTCAACTATTTTTTTTATATATAAACAATAAAAAAAAAGTTTTTATTTTTTTGTTGCAAACAATTGTTTAAATAGTTTTTCATAGATATACTAAAAAAATGTAATTTTATTATTGATTTTATAATTATATTATTCAATGTTTTACTAAATAAATTATTTATATATATATATATATATATATATATATATATATATATATATATATATGTATATTATATATATTGCTAATTATAATAAAGAAAAAACAATTAAAAATGTTTACTAGTATTTTCCCTAATAATCAACAAGCATAATTATCTTTTTTTTTTAAAAAAAAGTTTAGCAAAAACAAGATAACATCAATAATATTAATTTTTATCAATATACTTTAAGTATTTTTTATTGATTTTTTTTGTTATATATATTGATTTGTAGCTAAATATTGATCTTTTAATTACAATAAAAAAACCTAATTATAAATATAACAATTATTGTTAAATGTAATAATGAAAAATAAAACAATTAAAAACATATTAGTCATAATGTTTTATTTTGTAAATAATTAACAAGCATAATTAAGTATTGAATTTTATGAAAACAAAAACAATAATATTAGTTATTTACTAAATTATTATTTTTGTTACGGTTTTAATTCATATATTTTAAACTTTAAAAAAATATTAACCCAATCAATGTATTTATTAAAATTATTTTTTTATTAAAATATATAAGTTATCATAAAACAGTATATAATACTATTCAATATACACAAAATGTATCTATAATTTTTTGAAAAATTTAAAAAAACTTAACCAGCTAGTATATTATAATTTTTTAAAATATACACTTAATTTAGTTATAATGTTATTAATAAATATTATTATATTAACTAATTTTTTTTATAAACAATACATACAAGATATATATATTTTTGTAAACAATTGTCTAAATAGTTTTTATACTAAATTTTGTTATATATATTTATTTTATAATATTTTTCAATGTTTTATTAAATAAAGTTATATATATATATACAGTATATATATTTATATGTTACACATTGCTAATTATAATAAAGAAAAAACAATTAAAAATGTTTACTAGTTTTTTTCCTAATAATCAACAAGCATAATTATCTTTTTTTTAAAAAAAAAGTTTAGCAAAAAACAAGATAACATCAATAATATTAATTTTTATCAATGTACTTTAATTATTTTTATTGATTTTTAGATATATATTTATTTGTAGCTAAATATTGATCTTTTAATTACAATAAGTTATTAAATAAAAAAAAATTATTTATAAATATAACATTTATTGTCAATGTCAACTGTAATAATGAAAAAAACAAGTAAAAACATATTAATAATATTGCTTTATTTTGTAAATAATTAACAAGCATATTTAAGTATTAAATTTTATGAAAACAAAAATACTAATCATAATTATTTACTATATTACTATTTTTTGTTTAGTTTTAATCAATATTTATTATACTAAATAATATATAAAATATAATAAAATAATCAATGGTTTATATATTTGAGACAATAAAATATTATTTAGATATAACAAAATATTTTTAAAAAATTAATAAATTAGTTGAATAAAATTGAAAAATATATTAAAATTTTACAAATAAATACTACTAATAATAATATAAATAAAAGGATTGAAAACTAAAAATATTAATATTTAATTAATTAATTATCACATTGAATATAATGTAAATTTTATACCTGTATAATAAATAATAAAAAATATACAATATATATTTTTTTATCATTAATTATAAATACACTATATTATTTAATATGATAAATACCATTGGTTATAAATTGGTCTAGTTTATTTTGGTAATTAGTTAATAATTATTAGATTAGAAAAAAAATAAATATAAAAATTATTAAATTATTAAATATTATTATCCATCAGTACTTCAAATAATACTTCAAACTTTCTATTTATTAGATAATTATTTAATAAATAAAAATAAAGTAAAAAAATATTGTTAATAAATATGAAATAAATACTGATTTTACATTAAATTAAAAAAATTACTACAAAACAAAAAAATGTTTATTAAATATAAGTGTAATTATTATTATTATTAATTATAATATTTTTTATATTAATTAAATTTTATTGATTTGTTTTAATATTTTTTTGTTGTTAATTAGCAAACTTTTGGATTAACCGATAGTTTTATCTATATATGCGGCGGTTATAATGTGTCCACTGAGCTATCGGTATGTTATGAATATAATACCCGAACCAATGTCTGGCAAACCATACAATCCCTGTCCACTGGACGGGCAGTGTTTAGTATGATATCATTCAATCAAAAATTGTATGCAATTGGCGGCTATAATAATGTAATAATTAATGATAAAAATGTTTTTATAAATTAATATTTTTAAAAATAATTTTATATATTTTTATTAAAAATCTGAATTTTTAGCAAAAATATTTAAATACTGTTGAAACCTATGATATAAAAACAAATCAATGGAAATCTATAGCATCGATGAATATATTGCGCCGGTATTTATATATTTAATTATTTTTAAAATATAATAATTAAATATTATTATAATTTTATGATTATTTTATTGAATAAATATTTTTTTATAATAATAATTAATTTTATATATAAAGTGAGCATGATGCAACTTTAACACAAAATACAATATATGTATGCGGTGGATTTAATGGTAATTATAAATAATAATATTTTATATTATATTGTATTTATTAAAAAAAATTAAAAATCATAGTTTATTTTAATATTTAAAAAAAATTATATATTTAATTAAAAAAATTAAACTTTGTTAATCTACTGTGAAAAAAATTGTTGATATACTATATATATTAGATATTTATATTACTGATAAATTACAACAAAATAACTTTTTATTATTTACATTTTCAAATGTAGTTACTTATTAAATATAACTATAACTATAATTATTATTATTAATTTAAATTTATATATTTAATTTAAAAAATAAATATTTAATCTATTGTTAAAAATTGTTGATATACTATATACTGTATATATATATTAGATAATTATATTAAATCGTGTGAATATTATTTGCCGACTACTGATAAATAGCATTTAACGACATCAATGGCTACCGATAGGCGTGGTCTGGCACTGGTAGCCGATAATGTATATCTGTATGCTATCGGTGGCTATCGGGAGGAGGTCTTAAATACAATGGAAAGATTGGATATACTAACCAAACAATGGAAACCAATGGCAAATATGAACTATACTAGGTTAGTTTAGTTTTTTTATTTAAAAAAATATGTATATATATATTTAATCATTTAATTTACAGTATAGTAAAAAATACCTAGTTAAAAAAATTTATATAAAATAAATTAAACTAATTAAAAATTTAAATAATTGATTAACTAATAATAAATTAAAATAATTGATTAGCTGATTAAAATTTTTTATATAATTAGATTAAGTAATTATATATTTTTATTCTAAGTTCTACTTTAATAATAATAATTATTATTATTATAAATAAAAATATAGATATTAATAATTGATAATTAATTTATTAGAAATATTTTTGTTTTTTTTTGAAAATATAAAGATATTTATTTGGTTCAGCAGTTTTCATGAATAAAATCTATGTTTGCGGCGGTTTGGGTTTGGATGGCAATGGAAATACATGTGAATCATATGATCCGAAAACAAATCAATGGACACCTATTGGTTGGCTATTATTATAATAATAAAAAACATAAATTATTTTTTAATTAATTTATTATTAAAAAAATATTTAGCATCAATGCTATTGGATAGAAGCGATTTTAAATTGATTGCATTAAATAACAAATTGTATGCAATGGGTGGCCAAACAAGTGGTAAATATTTTTTTAAATAAATAAATAAACTAAAAAAAATAAATAAAAATATATATTTGTAGTTAAAACTTATCCAAACTTTATATAATAGTAAAACTATATTATTGTTAATTTAATCAATGAAAAAAATACATTAGTTTATTGTTTGTTTGTTTTTTGTATTTAATAAAAAAAAATAGTTTTTTTGGTGTTATTATTAGATAATAATAATGTTTTTTTTAAATATTTTTTTCATAGACGGTGTAACAAATACTGTTGAAATATATGATTATAAATCAAATCAATGGTCGTATACAACATCAATGCCAATAAAAGATAGGGATTTTGGGGTAAAAATATAATTTTTTTAAAAAAAATATTAAAAATTAATATTTTTTATAAACTTAAGTTATTAAATATTTTTTTTTATTTACAGGCAACTGTTGTTATATAACATAATCTAAATATAAAATATTATTATTAAATAATTAATAATATTAACATATTATAAATAAATAAATGTCAAAATTTTTATAATTAATTGTATTTAACTAATAAAAACATTTTGTAATTATTATATTATACAGTATTAAATATAATTATTGTTATTATTTAAAACTGTAACTTAAAATCAGATAAATAACTTTTTTTTAATAAAAAACAATATAAAAATATTTTTAGTAATACAGGTATTTAGGTTATCAGTACTTAACAAAAAAATACTTGACTTTATTTTATTTGTTGATATTATATTTATTGTTGTTTTTTAATATATAAAAATCATATATATAATAATAGTATAAAAAATATAATCTAGTTCAAATTAAATATATACACAGTTTAGTTTGATAAACAAAATATTAAATTATTTTTTATTTAAAAATGTTTAACAATAACTATTACTATTTAATATTTTTAAATGCTATTGTTATTATCAATTCAATTAATTATGTTTGCACATTAAATGCAACTAAAATTATTATTAATGATAATAATAATAATAATAACAATAGTAGTGACAATTATAATGTATTGAAAAATATTTTTTTCAATTTTTATATAAATTAATTATTATTATTATTATTATTTTCAATTAGCAAACAATTGATAGTTTTATCTATCTGTGCGGTGGTTGGGATGGCCGCACATATTTGTCTCAATGTTATAAATCAAATAATATCAAACAAACAAAAAATGTTTGGCAATCAATACAATCAATGTCTAGTAAACGGTATTTATTTAGTTGTGTTTCATACGATTCCTTATTGTATGCAATCGGTGGCAAAAATGTATGTATTTTTAAAAAAAAATTGTTTAAAACTTTAAATTAAAAATTTTATATTTTACATATAAAAGGATACATATTTGAATACTGTTGAAACATATGATCCAAAAACAAATATATGGAAATCTATTGAATCAATGAATATTGAACGCAAGTATTGATATAATTATAACTATTATTATTGTTGTTATATAGTTATCATAAATATTTTATTTATGGGTTACCTATAATAAAATATGATTTATAAAGTGAGCATGATGCAACTGTAATTCAAAATACATTATACGTATGCGGTGGTTCAAATGGTAAGTATATAATATAAATTATTGTGAATATACACACAAACACACATACATAGATATAAACACATACAAACACATACAAACACATACAAACACATACAAACACATACAAACACATACACACCCATACACACATACATAGACATACACACATACATAGATATAAACACATACAAACACATACAAAGACATACAAACACATACAAACACATACAAACACATACAAACACATACACACACATATACAAACACACACACACATACAAACTAACACATACATATGAACACATGCACACACATATATATACACATACACAACATTTTATAAACATTATGTAATTTTAAGTTATAAAAAAATAAAAAATTCATAATTTTTAAAAAATTTATTTTCAGAAATATATATTTTAAATTCTTGTGAATATTATTCACAAAATACTAATAAGTGGTCAATGACTACACCAATGAATTCAAAAAGACGTGGTCTGGCACTGGTAGCACACAATGGCTATATGTATGCTATCGGAGGTAATAATGGTATCGAAGTTTTCAATACAATGGAAAGATTTGATACAACTACTAAACAATGGCAACCAATGGCTAATATGAGTTATACTAGGTCAGTTATATATACACATATATATATATAAAGAAGTATTTCATTAATTATGTCCGAGCGGTTTTCTAAATAACTTTTGATCTGGTAGAGATAAATTATTTCTGTAAAAAGTTTATAATTTAGTTATTTACGCGTGATAATAACCACTTTTCATTTTTATATTTAAATAACGTGATCACATTTTTAACGGGATGTTTGAAAACCACTATGTCAAAACCTAACCTATAAATGATAGATTAAAATTTTTATAGCAAGTTTGTAATGTTTAAATTAATTATTTATGGGAAGAAAAAATTTTTAAATTGGTCGAAGAATAAAGTTTCTATGGCTTTTCGAACTTATGGAAAAACACATTATATAAAATAGTCGAAAATAAAATTACGTTATTTATGGATAGTAGACACTTATTAGATAAAGATTTTAATACTATTACTTATTCTAAAAACAAAATTTTTTTATGTCGAATATTTTTTCAGATAATCAAATTACAATAAAAAACGCAACCTTGTTATACGATAATTTAATTTTWATTTATATTTGATTATATGAAAAAATATTTGACATAAAAAAATTTTGTTTTTAGAATAAGTAATAGTATTAAAATCTTTATCTAATAAATGTCTACTATCCATAAATAACGTCATTTTATTTTCGACTATTTTATATAATGTGTTTTTCCATAAGTTCGAAAAGCCATAGAAAMTTTATTCTTCGACCAATTTCAAAATTTTTTTCTTTATATAAATTTTCATTTTAAGCTTTACAAACTTGCTATAAAATTTTTATTCTAACATTTATAGGTTAGGTTCTGACATAGTGGTTTGCATACATTCCGTTAAAAATGTGATCACGTGATTCAAATTTAAAAATGTAAAGTGGTTATTATCACGCATAATAACTAAATTATAAATTTTTTACAGAAATAATTTATCTCTACCAGATCAAAAGTTATTTAGAAAACCGCTCGGACATAATTAATGAAATACTTCTTTATATACATACTGTATATATGCTGTCTATATATATATAACCCAGTCCAATTTGATATTATTTAATTAAACATTTAGCTAAAATTCAATTATAAATACAATATAATTAGCATGCTAAATGTTAATTTGTTAATAGCTAAATTTTAGCTAAAATATTTACTTAAAATAATATTATTTAACAAACAAAAATAGTTACTAAATACATAATTATCAATTAATCAAAAACTAGTTTATAGATAATAAATATTTATTATTTTGTTAATTATTAAATATTTTTTTTTAAAATATATATATATATATAGAGGTTATTTTGGTTCAACAATATTTATGGATAAAATATATGTTTGCGGCGGTTATAATAGTAGTAATGAAAAAACATGCGAAACATATGATCCACTGACAAATCAATGGACACAAATTGGTTGGTTATTATTGATTAACAAAATATATTTATTTTTAAAAAAAATATTTACTATATTTATATTATTTATAGCATCAATGCTATCAGATAGAGATAATTTTCAATTGATTACATTTAATCAACAATTATATGCAATGGGAGGTGTATTTGGTAAACCAGATACGGTTGAAATATATGATTATAAATCAAATCAATGGTCGTATAGCCAATCGTTGCCAATACATGCTTACGATTTTGGGGTAAAATATATTATTATTATTATTTTATTTTTTTAAAAATACATTTGAATTAATTATTATTATTTATTTTTTTTTATTTAGGCAACTGTTATTTAGACAAACTTATGGAAAATTGTAAATCAATATTAATTAAAATAAATATATATTATACATCATGTATATTGATTTTATTGTTATTATTAAATTTTTTTATATGAATTATTATTATATTTACTTCAAATTAAAATAAATTGTAATTATTATATTTTATTAATATAATAAATAATAATATATCTGATACTAATAAAAAATAATTTTATTAATATCTTATCAGTGTTTAAATTAATATACAGGTATTGTAAAAATATTTATATACAAAAACAAATTATATAAAAATAAACTTTTTTAATATTAAGTTGTATTAAAATATAAATGTATGAAAATGTATATTTATTATTGTAATAATACCAGTAAAAATATATTAATAAAAAATTATTTTTTAAAAATAATAATTCAATACAAATATTTTCTAGTAACTACTTTTTAATTTTATTTGAAATATTTTTAAAAATTGTATTTATTTTAAATTATTTTATAATTTGTTGTTGTTGTTGTTGTTAAATAGCAAACTAACCAATTATCAGATGATAAAATACACAAAAAAAATATTACAAAATAATTTTAACATTAAATAATATCTATTGAATATACAGTATAATAGAAATAAATTATTTTTTTCACAAAAAAATATAATTAATTACTTATAATTTATATAATTTAAAATTGGATGCTTTTAATCACAACTAATATTTACTACTATTACTAATAACAATAATAACTATTACTTATAACAAACAGTTATTTAGTTTATTATTAGTTTATAATCTTTATTTTGTGACTATATTTTTAGTACATAACATATATTACATAACCAATTAAAATGTATTTTTAAAAAATCAGTTAATATTTAGTTCAATTATTATATCTATAATATCTATAACATTGTTATGATATATAAATAATTACAACTAATAATAATTAACCTTACTAGAAAAAATTGAAACAATAACTTTAACAAAAAAAAATTATTATCATTATTATTATTAGTGTATTGATTAATAATTTTTTATACTCTATTAAATAGTTGTTATAATAGTTGCTAAAAAAAGTCAAATAGTTGTTAAAATAGTTATTTTAACTGTATTAAATAGTTGAATATAGTTGCCAAAAAAGCCAAATAGTTATTGAAATAGTTATTTATTTTCTTATAAATATTTGCAACTGATATATAATTCACTTGTTTTCAGCATATTTACAAAAAATGATTTATATAAATAAACTAATTATTTCTATTGTTAAAAAAGTAATATGAGTTAATAACAGTTTACATATTTTATATAATTTATATAACTATTACTTTTTGTTTTTACATATAATTGTGCAATATTTTACAATTTAATGCTTATATTTTTCAAAATCAATGAAATAATTATTTATAAGTTTTTATAGTTTCTAACCCAACAAAAAGTTATTTATAGTTATAATAAAATTTCGGAAATAGCGTCCACTGGTCAACTTCGGTGGACATACTAAGTCCCAGTAATAAGCGTTGAACCGACAAAATAATTTTTTTAGTTGGAAATCAAGACACTAATTATTATATATCTAAACTTTATATTATTAGTACAATACTTGAAAGTGTGTTATAAACTTGAAAATTATATCAATATTTAAAAAATATTATTGTATATAAACTCTAATATAATTAAATCAAAATAAATTAGTTGTCATAAAATTATATGTATAGAAAAAATCTATAATTTTTTAAAAAATTATTTAGTATAATAATAATAAAAATTAATTATAGCACAAAATGCTTAATAAATATTACATTTTAATATCAATTACACAAATTTTTATATTAAATTGTATTAAATCATTAAATACAAGTATAATTAACAATAATAGTGATTATAATGTAATTTATATATAGAAAAATGTTGTTTAAGTTTAATATTTATCCAAAAAAAAACTTTATATAAATTAATAATTATTTTTTTTAATTAGCAAACAATTGACTTAAATTTTATCTATTTGTGCGGTGGATATGACGGGACATTTTTATCTGAATGTTATAAATATAATACGCAAACAAATATTTGGCAACCAATACAATCCATGTCCACTAAACGTATGTATTTTAGTTTGATTTCATACGATGATTCAAAATTGTATGCAATCGGCGGCATTAGTTATGTAAGTAATTGGTGTTAAATTTAAAAATAAATTAAATTGTTAATTAATTTATTTTAGTAAAATTTAAAAAATAATTGTGGTTTATATTTTTAGCCTAGATTTTTGAATAGCGTTGAAACATACAATACGCAAACAAATCAATGGACATCAATAGCATCGTTGAATAGAATACGCGGGTATTTAATAAATATAATTTAAAATCTATTTATTTATTTATTTCAATGTATTAATATTTTATTTTTATATTTAAAAAAAGTTATCATGATGCAACTGTATTAGAAAATACAATATATGTATGCGGTGGTGAACAAGGTATTTTAATATATTTTTAAAAATTAATTTTGTTTATTAAATTAATTTATTCATAGCTCAATCATTAAACTATTTTTTTTATATTTATATCAACAAAAATAATAATAATATAACACATAGTTTTGATATATCATATGAAAAATTACATATTAAAATAATTTTTATATTTTTATACATTTTTTAAAGAAAATGTGAAAATAGTAGACAATAGGATAGTTATGTTACAGACTAGTTAGTTATAGACTATTATTAATATTATTATTTTTGTGTGTGTGTTTTTACACAATACTATTACAATAAATTTTAATCTACGGATAATTATATTTTAAAAAATATATTTTAATATATTTAGCAAATATATATAAATCATGTGAATATTATTCACAAATAACTGATAAATGGTATGAAACGACACCAATGGCTACTGGACGGAGTCGTCTGGCACTGGTATCACTACATGGGTTTATATATGCTATCGGAGGTACTGATGGTAAAGTTGGTTACAATACAATGGAAAGATTGGATACAACTACACAACAATGGCAACCAATGGCTTATATGAATTATACTAGGTTAGTTATTTTTTTTTGAAAATTTATAATGTAAATATAATTATACATATTTATTTATACGAAACAAAAAAAAATAATTAAATTTGTAAAATTTTAATTAAAATAGTTTTATTACTAGGTGATTATTAGATTGAAATTATTGATTTTATTTTTTTTTATTAATAATGAACTATAATATAATACTAGATTAGTTTTATTATTTACAGTATAAATATAAGTATACATATTTATTATACAAAATTTAAAACTAATTAATTTTCTAAAATTTTAATTTAAATAGTTTTTTAACTAAATGATTATTAGATTGAAATTATAGATTCAATTTTGTTAAATAGTTAACTAAATATTAATAATAAATTAAATAATTACATAATATTTTTTTTAACTTTAATTTTTATTTTTTAAAAAAAATATTTTAAGATTTGCTTTTGGTTCGGCCATATTAATGGACAAAATATATGTTTGCGGCGGTTATAGTAATAGTAGTAGTCATCAGAAATCATGCGAAACATATGATCCGAAAACAAATCAATGGACACCAATTGGTTTGTAATTATTAATAATATTAATTAACTATAATTTAATTATTAGTAAATAATTATATATATATATATATATACTGTATTATTTTCAATAATATTTTGTTAAATAGCATCCATGCAATTAGATAGAAATGATTTTCAATTGATTGCATTTAATGACAAATTATATGCACTGGGTGGTTTTTCAAATGGTAATATATATATATAAATTACATATTTATTGCAAATTATTTATTATTATATTTCTAGTTATTTATTATATATTTATTATTATTAATTATATTATTCAATATTATTTAATTTTATATTTATTATTATTAATTATATTATTCAATATTATTTAATTTTATATTTATTATTATTAATTATATTATTCATTATTATTTAATTTTAATTTTACAAACACTTTAGAATAATATATGTTAACATTTATTATTATAAAAATATGATAAAAATAGTACATTATTATTAATTTATTGTATATATTTAAAATATTTATTTAATATATTTCAATTATTTTTTTTATAAATTTAGTTACTTATAATTAGTAATTTTATTGTTAATTAATTAAAAAAAAACTTATAATATTTTTAATAGTCGGCAAAACAGATACGGTTGAAATATATGATTATAAATTAAATCAATGGTCGTATACAACATCATTGCCAAAACAAGTTGATGTTTTTGGGGTAAAATATTTTTTTTATTAATTTATTTTATAATTTTCAAAAAAAACTTGAAAAGTTTTGTTTACTGAAATCTATAATGGCTTTTTGAGTCTGTGTGTGTGTGTGTGTAGCAATTTTTTTGCGAATTTTGAAATTCTGACTTCAGATTCGGTTAGAGGACTACTAATAATGTATGGAAAAGTAGCATCAAAATTTTGATATCTTTTCGGGAACATAGAAAAAATGGCGGCCAAAGTAAAGAAAATTTTAAGAAAATTTTTTTAAAGTATAGATTTGAATAAAGTATCAAAAACAAGCATAAGAAATATGAATTAAAATTTTGATATCTCATCGGATATAGAATTTTATAGAGCATCAAAAATAAGATAATAGCTCAAAATTATTTTTATTTTTATAAAATATGGTTGCAAAAGTATTATTTTGGCATTGAAATATTTGATACCCGACATGACTATAATTGTGTATATTTTGTCATAATGAATCATTTGATACCCAACATGACTATGGTTGAGTATATTTTGTCATACTGAATCATTTGATACCCAACATGACTATAATTGAAACATGATTATAATTGGGTATATTTTGTCATACTGAATCATTTGATACTCGACATGACTATAATTGTGTATATTTTGTCATACTGAATCATTTGATACCCGACATGACTATAATTGTGTATATTTTGTCATACTGAATCAATTGATACCCAACATGACTATTGTTGAGTATATTTTGTCATACTGAATCATTTGATACCCTACATGACTCTAATTGAGTATATTTTGTCATACTGAATCATTTGATACTCGACATGACTATAATTGAGTATATTTTGTCATACCGAGTCATTTGATTATATGACTTAAATCAACTGACAATTAATTGGCGAAGATAATATTTTATGCCGTCAAAGTTTTTTTTCTGATAATGCTTTCTAGCATTCTTAACTGGTTTTTTTATATACAATTGATATATTTTTTATTTTATTTCTAGGCAACTGTTTTATTGATATAATAAAAAAAATATGAAAATACTAAACATTATTATTATTTAGATTATCTAAGTATTTGTAAGAGTGTCTAAAACACAAAAACTAATTAAAAAAGTATAAATATTAGATTATATATATATAATATTTTTATAAATAAACATTATTTACTTTTAACTTAATTATATAGAGATAACTATTTTTATTTTAATAAATTAAGTTTTGTTCAATACACTTGAAGTTAATTATAACTTACTAAAAATGTACAAGTTAATTATATTTATATTTAAATAAACACTGTAGATTATTTAGAAAAAAATTGTAAAACAAATTTTATAAATAAAACTATTAAATTTAATCTATTTAAAAATTTTTAATTTAAAACCTAATTTTATATATTAAGTTAATATTTAATTAAAAGTAGTTTTTTTATTAGTTATAAACAACAATAATAAGTTTTTTAAACTTCAAATAAGTATTAATAAATATATATAATTCTTAAGTATTTTTTTTTATCAGAATTGATTATCAATTAAGTATTATTATTATAATTATTATTAATAAAAACATTTAGTTTTTATTTTTTTAAAATTATTTTTAAATGAAGTAAAATAAAATATAATTAATATAGTAGATTTGTGTTTTGTAGATGCACTAAAAATTTTAATTAAAATTATAAGATAAAGTTTAAAAATTTGTTATTTAACTATAGTATTTAGAGAATTTTAAAATTTTAGTATTTTTATGAATATTGTAAACCTTGTAATGTATTGTAAAAAATGCATATAATAAATAATTAATTATTAATTAATTAATTATATAAACTAAATAAGTGCAAACTAATAAAACTAGAGGTAAATATAATAATAAACACTCAACTAATTAATGATTATTTAATTGATAATTAAATTATTATATTTTTATTAACAAATTAAATAACTTAAGATTAGAAAAATTATATTGATATCTTTGTAAACACTTAAACATTTTTTCAATTATATATTATAAAATGTAGTGTTTTTTATTATAAAACAATAAATATTATATGTATAACTCTGCAAAAAAAATAATAAACAAAAATTGTAATTATAACTTAAAACTTAAATTTATATAATTCTCAATTTTAATTTTATACACAACAAAATAAATCATCTATAATTAAAACTTTAATATTAATAATTAATTTATTTAAAAAAACAATATTTTTAATCATTATTATAAGAACTTTAATTAATACTTGATCTTTGTTTTATAAACTTGAAAAAAAATTATATCAATTTTTTTTACTGATTATAGTATTTTTAATATTAAATAAAGTTTATATAATAAGACATAGTTTTAATAAACAATTAATTTTTTTCAAATATATGTAAGAAATAATAATACATTAATTGTTTTTTTAAATATAAATTATTAACAAACAAAACAAAAAAATGTTTAATAAATATTATATTATAGTATTTATTGCTATTATTTATTTACTATTAAATTGTTTTGATTCAACAAGTACAATTGCAATCAATAATAATAATAGTGATTATAATGTAAATAATATTTTTTTTAATAAATAAAAACTACTAAATAATTTTATTTTTTTATGTTGTTGTAATTGTCAGCAAACAATTGACTTATCGGATAGTTTTATCTATATATGCGGCGGATATGATGGATCAGCCTATTTGTCTCAATGTTATAAATATAACAAACAAACAGGTATTTGGGAAACCATACAATCCATGTCCACTACAAGAGCTTTATTTAGTTTGATTTCATTGGATTCAAAATTGTATGCAATCGGCGGCTATAATGTATGAAAATATTGAATTTAAAATATTAATAATTTCATTAGTATTGTTTAAAACATGTTTTATATTTAAATTATTTTAATTTCTAATCAAATAAATATATTTTTTTATTAGGACAAATATCAATATTTGAATATTGTTGAAAAATATGATATGGAAACAAATCAATGGAAATCAATAGCACCTATGAATATAATACGCAGGTATTGATAAAAAAACTAGTTATTTAAAAAGATTATTATAAATTATAAATATTTTTTAGATTTATTTAATATATTGAATTTTTTTAAAAGTCAGCATGGTGCAAGTGTTATACAAAATACTATATATGTATGCGGTGGTTACAATAGTGAGTATATATTTTTAAAATTATTGTTAGATTAATAACTATAGCACAAAGATAAAAATTTTATTTGTCTTATTAATAATTACTATTTAATTTAAAAAAACAACACAAATGTGTTAAAATTAGAAACACTAATAGAAAAATAATTATAATAATATTAAAAATTGAAATTATATTCTGCTTGGTTAATTTTTTTTATTATATCATTATTTTTGAAATATTCATTATTTCTATTAAATTATTTATATTTAGACAAAACTATCAAATCATGTGAATCTTATTCACCAAATACTAATGAGTGGTCTTTTGTAACACCAATGAGTACTGAAAGGCGTGGTCTGGCACTGGTAGCACACAATGGGTTTATATATACTATCGGAGGCCATAATAGTAATGGATATTTAAATACAATGGAAAGATATGATACAAAAACACAACAATGGCAACCAATGGCTAATATGAAATACGCTAGGTAATTATTTCTTTATCTATACTACTATATAATTTGGTAATGTTTGTGCCATTATCTGTGACGAAAACAATTACTTTTAAGGTGTCGCGCGATTATTAATAATTTTAATTTATTAAATAAAAAAAATAAATATACTTTTTATAATACACTGTATATTATATTATATATAGCGCGTGAAAGCATTGTTTAGTAAAGAGATAGATATTATAGTTATCATATAATTTTGAAATAAATTGATAAAAAAATTAATATCGCTAGACTAATAAAAAATTAGATTATTATTAATTAATAATTAATTTCTTTAATCAAATTCAGTAATTTTTTTTAAATATTTGCATTAATATTTTTATAAAAATAAAAGATTAAATTTTGGTTCAGCATCATTTATGGATAAAATATATGTTTGCGGCGGTTATGGTAATAGTGACAAGAAATCATGTGAAACATATGATCCAAAAACAAATCAATGGACACAAATTGGTTGATAATTTTAATTATAGAAATTATTTTATTTGTATTAATTTTTATAATTAATTTTTATTAGCATCCATGCAATTAGATAGAGTTGAATTTAATTTGATTGTATTTAATGACAAATTATATGCATTGGGAGGCTATTCAAAGGGTATGTACAGTATATGACTATCTATAGTACTTAAATTTTAATTATATATATGTATAATTTTATTTTTTTATAACATTAAATAATATTAAATTTCGTATGATTATGTTAAAATATTTTATTTTTTTTGTTAATTTAATAATATTTCATTTATGATTATTAGTCATATAAATTATATTTTTGTAAATATATTAATTACATTATTATTTTTAGATTTTAAACAAACAGAATCGGTTGAAATATATGATCATAAATCAAATGAATGGTATTATACGACATCATTGCCAATAAAATTATCAGCATTTGGAGTAAATATATTTATTTTATTTTATTTGTTTTAATATTAATTATTATATTTTATTTCCTAGGTAGCTGTCCTATAACAAAAAATATGTAGTAAAACTATGATGAAAAATGAAATTTTTATTTGCATTACAATTAATATTTTTTTTAAAGAATACTTATTTATTGTTATTCAAAATTTTTTGTATTAAAGTTTTAGATATTTGTTTTTTATTAACTATGCGAAGTATTTATATATATATTTATATTATACAATTATATTTAATTATAAATTAATAGTTAATACTTATTTAAGATATAGTAATGTAATGTAAAATCTATGTGAAAATATAATAAAAAATTTGTTTTAAATTGCACTATAATTAATTAATAGAAAATATAAGCTACTTAACTAAATCATTAGTTAAGTACAAAATATAATAAATTAAAAATATTGAAAAATTGATTATTTAGACAATTAATTTAAGTTTACAATAATAAGAAACACTCCACAAATATGATTATTTAATTGATAGATATAATATTATAATTTATCAATAAAAATATTACTTAAGATTATTAATTATATTGATATCTTTGTAAACACTTAATTAATTAAAAATTATATTATTAAAATAACAAAAATAAAAGTAAGTGTTTAAATTAATAAATTTTTATATTACAAAAACAGATTATATAAAAATTTAATTTTATTTATATTAAATTGTATTAAAATATGAATATATAAAAATTATTGTATTATTTAAAATATTATATTATTGTAATAATAAAAATATATTAATTGATAATTATTCATTAAAAAAAATAATTTTATACCAAATTACTATTACTAATTGTTTACTAATTACTAATAGTTATTATTTTTCATTGAATTCTTATTTGAAATATTTTTAAAAAATTAAATTTATTTAAAATTATTTTTTTTTGTTAATTAGCAACCTAATAAATTATCAGATAATAAAATAATCACAAAAATATTACAAAATAATATTAACATTAAATCCTATCTATTGAATAAACAGTATAATAGAAATAAATATTTTTTTTTAGTAAAAAATAAATAAATAATTACTTATAATTTATGTATTTGAAAATTTTATGCTTTTAATCATAAGTAATTTTTTTTTACTATTACTAATAACTAACAACAATAACTACTACTACTAATAACAATTAGTTATTTATTTTATTATCTTTTTTTTTTGGTGACTATACAATATTAACTTATTTTTTTCAATACATTAAATTGATTATGTAATATATGTAATGTACTAAAGTGACTATATTTAGTACATAACATATATTACATAATCAATTAAATGTATTGAAAAAAAAAATAAGTTAATATTTAGTTCAATTATTATATCTACTATATCTATATAACATTGTTATGATAATTAAAAAATAATAATTAAGATAGAAAAAATTAAACAATAATTAACAAAAAATTTTATCATTATTATTATATACTGTATCTAAACTTTATATTATTATTGGTAGACTACTTGAAAGTGTGATATATAAACTTATAAAATTATATCAATATTTAATAAATAAATTATTGTTATAATATAAATATAAAATATAAATACATATTATCAAATAAATTAGTTGACATAAAATTATATGTATAGAAAAAAATTCTATAATAACTTAATAATAATCGTGTTTTTTATTTCCCATATGGAATTCAATAATTTTTTTTAGTATTATATAAAGTTTATATAACAAAACTTAAATTTTTTAACAATTAATTAATTTTATTTTTCAAATATATCTAAAAAATTATTATATATTAATTGTTTTGTTTTTTTTTTGGAAAATTAATTATTAACAAACAAAACAAAAATGTTTAATAAATATTATATTATAATATTTATTGCTAAAATTTATTTACTATTAAATTGTTTTGATTCAACAATTACACATGCAATCAATAATAATAATAATAATAATAGTGATTATTATGTAAGTATTTATTTATTTTTTTTTTAAATAATCCCTAATAAATATTATTTTTAATTATTAATGTAATTATTAGCAATCAATTGACTTATCCGATGATAGTTTTATCTATATATGCGGTGGAAGTGATGGTTCAACCTATTTGTCTCAATGTTATAAATATAACAAACAAACCGGTATTTGGGAAACCATACAATACATGTCCACTGAAAGGATTTCATTTACTTTGATTTCAATGGATTCAAAAATGTATGCAATCGGCGGCTATAATGTATGCAAAATAATAATGTGTTTATAAAAATAATTTCAATAATTTATTTTCATTATAAATATTGTTACACACATGCAAAAAAAATGTTTTTATATTAACAAATTAATTAATTATTTATTAGGATAATGATTTAAATAGTGTTGAAACATATGATCAACAAACAAATCAATGGAAATCAATTCAATCAATGAATATAATACGACGGTATTGATTAAAAAAAAATACTAGTTATTTAAAAAGATTTTTTTTATAAAAAAATGAATTAATAGTTTTTATTTTTATTTAATATATTATTATTATTTATTTTTTTAAAAAAAAAGTCAGCATGGTGCAAGTGTAATACAAAATTCTATATATGTATGCGGTGGTTACAATAGTAAGTATATATATATATTTTTAAAATAAAAAATTTTTTTTTTTTGATAAATAACTAAAATTTAATTTGTCTTATTAATAATAGCTATTTAATTTTTTTTTAAAAAAACAAACAAAACAAATGTTTCAAAATTAGTAACACTTATGATAAAAAACAATTATAATAATATTAAAAAATTGAAATTATATTCTGCTTGGTCAAATTTTTTTTTTGCATTATGTCATTATTTTTGAAAAAAAAAATTATTTATATTTAGACAAATATATCAAATCATGTGAAGCTTATTCACCAAATACTGATGAGTGGTCTTTTGTAACACCAATGACTACGGAAAGGCGTGGTCTGGCACTGGTAGCCAACAATGGGTTTATATATGCTATCGGAGGCTATAATGGATTTGAATATTTAAATACAATGGAAAGATTGGATACAACTACACATCAATGGCAACCAATGGCTAATATGAAATACACTAGGTAGTTATTTATATATTATTATTATTATTAAGTTTTAAAATAAATTAATCAAAAAAATATTTAATATTACCAGATTAATAAATAATTAGTAATAATTATAGATTATTAAAAAATTATTAATTAATTAAATAACTTTTATCTAATTTCACTAATTTCTTTAATACTTTTTAATTTAAATCTTATAAAAAAACAAAACAAAAGATTTAATTTTGGTTTAGCATTATTTATGGATAAAATATATGTTTGCGGCGGTTATGATATAAGTGATGGGAAATCATGCGAATCATATGACCCGAAAACAAATCAATGGACACCAATTGGTTTATTATAATTTTAATTATCGAAATAATTTTATTTGTATTAATTTTTTTTTATAATAAATTTTATTTATTAGCATCAATGCTTATAGAAAGATTTGAATTTAGTTTGATTGAATTTACTGATAAATTATATGCATTGGGTGGCTATACAAAAGGTATATTTTAGACTTTTATTTTAGATATTTATGATTTTAACTTTAAGTAGTATCATGATAATTTTGTTGTTGTTGATAAATGTTATAACATTTTTTGATGTTCAAAAATTTATAATAAATAAAATAATTATTTATAGATAACATAATAATTTTTATTTAGTTTAAATGTTTTAAACATACATTACAATAAATAATAACTACCGATAAATATTTTATCTAAGTCATAGTTTAGTTATTATTTATTGTAATGTATTTTTAAAAACATTAAAAACAAAAAAATAAACAACTAAATAAAAATTATTATGTTATCTATAAATAATTATTTTATTTATTATAAATTTTTGAACATCAATAATGTTATAACATTTAAACGTATACAAATTAAATAAATTATTTATCTAAGCCATAGTTTATTTAATTTGTACTAGTCTATATGTGTGATTAGTTTTATCATGGTACTTTTCATAAATTATAATAATAGCTAAAAAAATTCCTATTTATAAAGTTAATCACTGTTTTAGACTATCTATAGAATTTAAATTAAATTCGTATGATAATGCTAAAATATTACAAAATTTTTTTAATTAAATTAAAATTATATTTATTACATTTAATTATTTTTAGATTTTAAACAAACAGATACGGTTGAAATATATGATCATAAATCAAATCAATGGTATTTTACGACATCATTGCCAAAAAAACTACAAGATTTTGGAGTAAATATCTTTGTTTAATATTTTTTGTTTTAATATTATTTATTGTATTTTATTTTTTAGGCAACTGTTATAAAAAAAATATGAAAACCATCATAAAAATTTTTATTTGCAGTACAATTAATATTTTTTAAAACAATACTTATTCATTGTTATTTAAAATTTTAAAGTTTTTAAATATTTGTTTTTTATTAATTATATGTAGAATTTATACATTTTTAACTTATATTACATTTTTATAAATTACTAGTTAATATTTATTTAAGACATTATAATTTAATGTAAAACCTATGGGAAAACATAAATTATATAATAAACAGTTAGTTATTAATTGCATTTTAATTAATTAATAGAAATATAAGTTACTTATATAAGTATAAAATATAATTAATTTAAAATATTGAAAAATAATTGATTATTTAGACAATTAATTTAAGTTAACAATAATAAGAAACACTTAACTTAAATATGATTATTTAATTGATAAATATATTATTATAATTAATCAACAAAAATATCAACTTAGGATTAATATTTAATTATATTGATATCTTTGTAGACACTTATTTAATTAAAAATTATATTATAGATGACATATATATATATATATAGTTTTATTAATATCAATAGTTTATATATAACTTAACAAAAATCTAATTAATAAATTTTTTCACTATACTTAGACTTTTAATTATAACTTTAAACTTAAAAATATCATTTCTCTGTTTTAATTTATCAACTAATTTATAAGTAAACAAAATATAATCTAGCAATATTTATAATCATTATTATTAAGTACTTAAATTTAATACTTGATCTTTGTTATATAAACTTGAAAAAAAATGATATCAATATTTTTTTTTACTGATTGTTTACTGATTTTTAGTATCAAACTTATAACAATTAATTAATTTTTTTTTCTAATATATGTTACAGAAATTATTATACGTTAATTGTTTTTTTTTTGAAAATAAATTATTAACAAACAAACAAAAAAATGTTTAATAAATATAATTTTATATTATTTATTGCATATATTTATTTACTATTTAATTGTTATGATTCAACAAGTATAATTGCAATCAATAATAATAATAATAATCATAGTGATTATAATGTAAATTATATTTTTTAATAAAAAAAATGTTAAATATTTATTTTCTAAAAAAAACCTAATAAATAATTTTTGATGTTATTGTAATTATTAGCAAACAATTGATGACTTATCGGATAGTTTTATCTATATATGCGGTGGATATGATGGGACATCACTATTGTCTCAGTGTTATAAATATAACAAACAAACAGCTATTTGGGAAACCATACAATACATGTCTACACCGAGAAATATATTTACTTTGATTTCATACGATTCAAAATTATATGCAATCGGAGGCTTAAATGTATGCAAAAAATTAAAGAGAGAGAGAGAGAGAGAGTCTTAAACAATTTTAATTTCAATTATCTGGTTAACTATACGCTGGATTTAACTAGTGACCAAGGTGGCAATGTTGTAGATTATAATTGGTCATTTTTTAAAAAATTAATTGCATCATTGGCTATATACTATAATAGTAGACGATTAAACAATTGTAAGATAGTTAGACTGCAATTATCTGCCCCAATAATATAATTAATTAAAAAATGACCAATTACAATTTTATACAGTTTAAAATTATCTACAACATTTCCACCTTGGTCACTTTTAAATCCAGTTTTATTGACTAGATAATTGAAATTAAAAGCATCGACTCTCAAAAAATGTTTTATATTTCATTATTTTAAAATCTAAACAAATTAAATATTATTTTTATTATTAGGACAAACATGAATATATGAATAGTGTTGAAACATATGATACGCAAAGAAATCAATGGAAATCAATAGTATCGATGAATATATTACGCAGGTATTGATAAAAAACTAGATATTTTTAACAGTTTTTTTTAAATAATAAATATTTTTAATTTTTATTTAATATATTGATTTTTTTTAAAAAAAAGTCAGCATGCTGCAAGTGTAATACAAAATACTATTTATGTATGCGGCGGTCAAAATGGTAAGTATATATATATTTAAAAATATTTTATAAGTTTGATAAATAACTATAACACAAAAATAATAATTTAAATTTATCTTATTAATAATACATATTTAATTTTTTAACAAACATAACAAATTTTATTTAAATTAATTAAAATCAACACTAATAATAAATAATAATAATATTATTATTAACAATTGAAATTATATTCAGCTTGGTCAATATTTTTTGAGTGCATTATATCATTATTTTTATTAAATTATTTATATTTAGACAAATATATCAAATCATGCGAATCATATTCACTAAATACTGATGAGTGGTATTTTGTAACACCAATGACTACGGAAAGGCGTGGTCTGGCACTGGTAGCCAACAATGGGTTTATATATGCTATCGGAGGCTATAATGGATTTGAATATTTAAATACAATGGAAAGATATGATACAAAAACACAGCAATGGACACCAATGGCTAATATGAAAGTTACTAGGTTAGTTATTTTTATATTATTATTATTATTATTATTATATAGTTTTGAAATAAATTAATCAAAAAATTTTAAAATTAGTAGACTAATAATTATTTAAAAATTATTTATAAATTTGAATATCTTTTTAACAATTTCAGTAATTTCTTAAATATTTTAAGTTTATATTTTTTATTTAAAAAAATAAAAGATCAAATTTTGGTTCAGCATCATTTATGAGTAAAATATATGTTTGCGGCGGTTATGATAATAATGATAGAAAATCATGTGAAACATATGATCCGAAATTAAATCAATGGACACCAATTGGTTGATGATTTTAATTATGGAAATTATTTTATTTGTATTAATTTTTATAATTAATTTTATTAGCATCAATGCAATTAGATAGAGTTCATTTTAATTTGATTGCATTTAATGACAAATTATATGCATTGGGTGGCCTAACAAAAGGTATATTTTATTATTATCTATAGAATTTAAATTTTAACAAAAAAAAATTATTTTATATCTATATAATTCTATAATTTTTTTAAAATAAAATTTAATATTAAATTTTGTATAATAATTATCAAATATTCCTGTTTTTTAGTTATATTAATAATATTTCATGTATAAATAATGAATTATAACATCTATTTTACATATAACTTATATTTTTTGTGATTATTAAAGATATTATCAAAAATAATTAGATATATAAACCATTGATTGAAAACTATTAATTAATTGCAAAAGTTTTAGTCACATATAACAACATATTTTTAAAAGGTAGTCATATATTATCAAATATTAGCACATATTTTGCATTTAATATAAAATAATAGTTAAATTACTTTTTTCTCATGTATTTTTGTATATATTAGTTGTTTAAATTTTTTTTTAAAAAATAGTATTTTATATGAATGCAACATAATTTGTTAATTTTTGTAGACATAATATAAACATAATATTTATAATATATTGTAACGTCCTGCGTCGCTACTTCGACGTAAGGGTGAATCGGCTTTAAGTCGTCAGTGTCGTAGGCACCATGTAGGTCTCGCACCGACCTGTATCTGTAATATTCGCTCGCATTCGCTCGCCAGCTCTATGCAGACTTCCTCGTTTATGATTCCCCAACGCTGCACTAGGTTGCCGTGCGGTGGTTATTACATGACACCATTGCCTGATCATGGCCGATCCTTACCACACCCATGAAGCACGTAACGTTACCTCGTCTACTCGGATTGTCGTCTGTGAAGTTTCGTCTGTCTAGGGGTTAATCGCATCGCGAAATTATACGTTGTCTAGGGGTTGTAGTATCGCGAAGTTATAAGATGTCTAGGGGTTCTCGACGGCCATCCGATAACCGCCTTCCGGTCGCTCCCGATGTGGCGTTTGTATTACACTGTCGGCCCTTTGGCCTGATCTGGCCGAGACCTCATCTCGAGCCTCAACCGTCTTCGCGACGGGAAGCGAGACGATACCGGTGGTCTCGGCTACAAACCAAATGTAGATCAGAGACTTCGCTAGCCTCGACCGAACGACTCGGGAGGCGAGACTCTGTCTCAGTAAACAAATCTTACCCGATCTCTGTCCAACACTTACGCGACTACCGTCGCCGGCGAACGCAAGGCCCGAAGGCCTGCGCCTACAAACATTTTAACTTACTGTTGCTGTTGCTAACCGTCATCAATTTATTGATTAAATATATAAAAATATAATATGGGTTACAATAATAGATACTACACGTCCTCTCGTCTCGGCGTCTCGAACTCAACTCCTCGTCTCCAGTCACTCAAGTGACTTGGGAACAGAGTTCTCGGAACACTTCCCGAGTCGGCGCTCTAATTACACCAATCATATACTACTTAACAATGACACAACTACTTCAACTGCTCTCTTATTGGCTATTACCGTCTCGACCTAGTTAATACGTACCGGTTGTCATTAAACTAGTTATTGCCTCAAAATAATGCAATCAAGGTTTTCTAATGCTATATAGCCTATGTAGTATATCGTATGCTATAGTGTTACTTATTATTATTATATAGTGTCAATTAATACAGTAGTATTGTATTGGTGTTGTTAATGCCGCTAACATTGAAATATACTGCTATGTATTATAATGTTATGCTATATACACCTCTGTGTATTATGATGCTATGCTTCGTACCTCACTATATAGCTTAAAGCTATGAAGCTATGAAGCTTTAAGGCCTCTACTGAAGCTTAATCTCCGTCAAACGTAACAATATTTTTCTACTATTTTCTAGTCTCTGCTAAAAGACAATAGAAATAAAAACATTATTTGCATCTATTTAAATTAAATAAATTTAATTAATATGTTTATTTATAAGTATAAATAACAAAAAAATTAAAATGTATTGTTTTATTATTAATTGTAAATATAAAATTAATTGATTGATTTTTTAAATATAAATACTTTAGACTTTTCAAAAACAAAATATTATTACATATTTTCATGTTTTTTTAAACAAATATTTCATTGAATAAAACCTGAATTTTAGTCACATATATCATATAAATTATTTTTTAGCTGTCGGACAAACAGATACGGTTGAAATATATGATCATAAATCAAATCAATGGTATTATACGACATCATTGCCAATAAAAGTATCAGCATTTGGAGTAAATATATTTAGTATTATTTTATTTTGTTGTTAATAATATTAATTATAATATTTTATTATTTTTTAGGCAACTGTTATAACAAAAATATGAAAATTTTATGAAAAAAAAACATTTAATTTTTATTTGTATTAAAGAATACTTATTCATTGTTTTAAAGTTTTTACATATTTTGTTAACAATGTGTAATATTTATACTTTTGTTTAAAAAAAATTATAATACATTTTTTTTTATAAATTTATAATTAATATTTATTTAAAATATTGTAATGTAATGTAAAACCTATGGAAAAATATAATAAACAATTAGTTTTAAATCTCACTTTAATTAATAAATAGAAATAAAATTTACTTAACTAAATAAATTAGTACACAATTAATTAAAAATATTGAAAAATAATTGATTATTTAGACAATCAATTTTAGTTAAAAATAATAAAAACACTACAAATATGATTATTTTATAGATAAATATATTAGTATTATTTATCAACAAAAATATAACTTAAGATTAATTTTTTAATTATATTGATATCTTTGTAAACACTTATTAACACAAATTATATTATTAAAATATCTAATATAAAAGTAGTAATTTTTATTATGACAAATATACTGTATATCTAATTATATTTATATCAATAGTTTATATATAACTTTTCTAAAAGCTAATAAACAATTTTATTTCAGTACACTAAAAATTATAATTATAACTTAAAACTTTAAAAGTTTATCATTCGCAATTTTAATTAATCAACTAATGTACCGTATATACAATACTATATACTCTAACAATATTTTTAATCATTATTATTAAGTACTTAAATTAATACTTGATCTTTGTTTTATAAACTTGAAAAAAATGATATCAATATTTTTTTTTGTTTTTTACTGATTGTACGATTTTTAGTCTTAAATTAAGTTTATATAATAGGACAAACTATTAACAATTAATTAATTAATTTTTCAATTATATCTAAGAAATTATTATACATTAATTTTTGTTTTTGAAAATAAATTATTATTAACAAACAAAAAAATGTTTAATAAATATTATTTTATAGTATTTATTGCTAATATTTACTTACTATTAAATTGTTTTGATTCAACAAGTACAATTGCAATCAATAATGTAAATAATATATTTTTAAAAAATGTTAAATATTTTTTTTAAAAAAAAGACTAATAAATAATTTTATTTTTAAATATTAATGTAATTATTAGCAAACAATTACTGATGACTTATTAGATAATAGTTTTATCTATATATGCGGTGGTTTGGATGGCACAACCTATTTGTCTCAATGTTATAAATATAACAAACAGACAGGTATTTGGGAAACCATACAATCCCTGACCACTAAACGAGATTTATTTAGTCTGATTTCATACGATTCAAAACTGTATGCAATCGGCGGCTATAATGTATGTATTTGAAAAAAAACTGATATTTAATTATATAAATAATTAATAATTTTTTTAACAAATAATAAATTTAAGGGTAAAACTTTAAATAGCATCGAAACATACGATACACTAACAAATAAATGGCAATCAATAGCACCGATGAATATAATACGCCAGTATATCATATAATTTTATTCAACTATTAATTAATTAATTATTTATTTAATCATTGATTATAAAACCTTATATTTTTAATTTATATATATATATAAATATAAAGTCAACATGATGCAACTGTAATTCAAAATACAATATATGTATGCGGTGGTCTAAATGGTAAGTGTAATATAATATTAATAATTAATATATTATTATTATTATTATTAATTAAATAAACAAAATTTTTAACTTATTTTTATAATAATTGAATTACAAAAACAAAAAAAATCATTGTATTTTCATTTTCTTTTAGAAAAATTAATTAAAACATATATATATATATATTAAAAAAATCATTTGCTTACGCACAGACACACACACACATGCATAGAAACACATATACATACATACATATATATATATATACAAACACATATATATACACACACATACATAGATACACACACATACATACACACACATACACAAAAATGAAATAATTGAAATTTTTAAAAATTATAATCTATAAAGATTTTTTTGTTAAATTTTTTAAAATAATTTTAATATTCAGGCAATGTATTCAAAACATGTGAATATTATTCACTAACTACTAATGAATGGCATTTTGCTCAACCAATGGCTACGGAAAGGCGTTGTCTGGAACTGGTAGCTAACGATGGCTTTATATATGCTATCGGCGGTCATAATGGTAAAGAATATTTGAATACAATGGAAAGGTATGATATAAAAACACAACAATGGCAGCCAATGGGATATATGAGATATGCTAGGTTAGTTATTTATATATATATCAATAATTATTAGTTGAAAAAATATACTAAATTAAGGTACAATATTAATACAGTATATACTGTATATATATAATATATACTTTATATATATTTAGTATATACTTTATATATATATAGTATATACCAGTGATTAACATTAAGTGATATCATGATAACTTTTTTGATAAATGTAATAACGTTATTAATGTTCAAAATTATAATAAATAAAATTATTTATAGATAACCATAGATATCATGGTACATTTCATAAATTATAATAATAATTAAAAAATTCCTATACATATAATGTTAATCACTATAATATACAGTATGTATATAGTTACATATATTTACAATATTATCTATGTTTAAGTAAATGAATTTATTATCATTTTTAAAATAATTTTTTAATTTTTTATTTAAATTTTATATATATATAAAAAATGTAAGAGGTTACTTTGGTTCAGCATTATTTATGGGCAAATTATATGTTTGCGGCGGTTTGGGTAATACTGATCAAAAATCATGCGAATCATATGATCCGAAAGCAAATCAATGGACACCAATTGGTTTGATATGATTTGTCTTTTTTATTTTTTTTTAAATATTTATTTTTGTTTGTTTGTTTAGCATCTATGCTATTAGACAGACATTATTTTAAGTTAATTGCATTTAATGAGAAATTATATGCATTGGGTGGTCAAGGAAAAGGTATATATATTTTATTAATAATTTTTTTATATATAACATGAAATATAAGTTTTAAATTAAATATCTGAAAATTACTTATATTTTTAAATAATAAAGTATAATTTTAGACTAGTTAAAAAAAAAGTTTTATAGTTAAATTTAATTAGAATAATACTGTTTATTAATATATAATAGAATAATTAATAATTATTTTTAAAATAAATATTTTAATAGATGGTAAACCAACTGAAACTGTTGAAGTTTATGATTATAAATCCAATCAATGGTATTATACGACATCATTGCCGAAAAAAATTTACGCTTTTGGGGTAAAATATTTTATTTTTTTTTTGTTAAATTATTTTTTTTACTAATTTATTATATTTTTTTAAAAATTTTATTTAGGCAACTGTTTAACAAAGTTATAGTACAAAATTATTGTAGTTTCAAAAAAATTAATATAACATTACCTAAAATTATTTGGAAAAATTAATAGTTTAGATGTAAATTATTTTGATTAGTATTATACTAAAGTTATTTATTAAAGCAAATAATAAAAATCTAATTAACAACAAAATTTAGACTAATTTACTTAAATTATTACTTATTATTAAAAAATAAAATTCTCTAATCTTAACTACCATTTAAGTCTAATATTTATTTTTAATTAAATATTTTTTTTAAATATCAACAAAAATATTAATTAAATGAAAAAAATATAGTTTTATTTTTATTAATACAACTAATAAAATAATTTAATTATTTTATAAAAAGTTTATTAAAGTAATTTAAAAAAATTATTGTTATTATATTCAAAATAACAATTAAAAATTTTAAAATCAAATAATTTAATAAAAATTTAATTTATTTTACTATTATTATTAGAATATTTTTTATAACATATTTTAGTTTTTGTCTTAATTTAAAATATTTCAAATTTAATTATTTGTTTAAATATGGTATATATTTATTTATAAATTTTATATATCATTTATTAAAATAGTTTGTAATTTAAAAAATCTATTTTTAAAAACATTATTACAACATATATATAATTTTAAAATTTTACACAAACAATCTTATCAAGATAACACTTTATGATAATAGTTTTGTCTGCTTATATGACACCTTTCCTCAACAACCAAATTTTAATTCAAATCAAAAAATGTATTGTTATATTTTAAATTTTTATTCAAATCAATGTTATTTCTATTGGAAAGTTTTAATGTTTATTGAGGCAGGTAGGTATTTTATAGACGTTTATTTTATAGATGGATAGCATAAATATTTTATAATCTAGCAAAATTTCTTTTTATAATCAGAATTTTAATTGAAGTTGATTATTGTATATGCATAGCGATAGGTCTTGTATTTTGATGATAATTCTTATTCTTAGATCGGTAAAACAAATTTGGCAGTCAATCTAATTTTTTATAAATATTTTATAATTAGTAAGATAATGCACTACTATACATGTTGCGCGGGACAAACTAGTTTTTATAATAATAATATTGTGCGTAATAATTTACATGTTTTTTGTGTTAATTAAAATTAGTTTTTTTAAGTAAATTAATAAAATGAATTTTTAATTTTCTTTATTATATTATAAAATATTGACATATAGTCTTTTGAGGTGGTGACTGAATTGCCCACTGCTCTGCCCACTGCTCTGCCAACTGCCCACTGCTCTGCTTTTGGGGGTATAGGGGGTATAGACTTATTACATTTTAAACAATTTTTTCAAAAATCCAAAATCAAGGTGGGTCAATAGAAAATTCTTTAAAATTTTCTTAAATTCTAGAATATACCCATGTAATTAATGTTCCCATAAGTTCACGTATAAATTCCTAGGAAAATAGGCAAAATTTCTAAAAATATAATAAAATATAAAAATTAATAAAAAAATATTAAATTTTAACAAAAAAATAATTTTAAAAAAATTGGGCAGTGGGCAGAGCAGTGGGCAGAACAGTGGGCAGAAACAGTGGGCAGAAACAGTGGGCAGAGCAGTGGGCAATTCAGTCACCACCGTCTTTTGATGTCTATTGTCTATTGATAGCTAAATACTAAAAATTTTATTACAAATACATTACAAACAATAATGATTTGACAAAATAATCAATTAGTTTTCAGTCGTAGACTATCGTTGATTTTAATTGTATTGATTATACATTTTAAAGTCAATTGCAATGATGATGATAAAACAGGTAACAACCTGTCTCTCTCTCTCTCTCTCTCTCTCTGTCTCTGTCTCTCTCTGTCTCTCTCTTTTTCTCTATGTCTCTCTCTTTCTCTCTGACTCTCTCTCTCTCTCTCTCTCTCTCTGTCTCTCTGTTTCTCTCTTTCTCTCTATTTTTTTTTACTATGCTTTACTATGCTGTTCACCACTTATCTGTCGAGATGTTGGTGATTGGCAAGCTGTTGATGACATGTCAAATACAATAGAAGATAATGAAACAAATTATATATGTGCTTGTAAATATCAAGATAATCATTGTATTATTGAACATGCGAATGAATGATAATATGATGGATACAACAATAAGAAATATTCATATTCATAATACTATATTTAATAGTTTTTAGAATTTAAATTAGTTGTTACTTGTAATGTGTTAACTTATATGTTTTACTTATAAGTTAAAATTATAGTTTCAATATACTTCAAATATATACAATATAAAAGTATAGAAATAAAAATAAATTAATTGTTATTATATCCAATATCTATTCAACAATAGAATAAATAATTTAATAAATTTTAGTTTATTCTTAATATTATAATAAAAAGAATTTTTTGTGTATAATTATATCTATTATATTATAAAAATTATTTAATTAATTTTTTCATTATAATACTAACAATATAGCAAATAGGCAAATCTGGTTACAGATAATGGATATAATGAAATTGTAAAAACAATTTATCATTAGGTTTTCAAATAACACTAATAAATAATTTATTATTTACTAATACTGAAACTAAATTATCAAATCATATGAAAACAAATCAATTACTAAATATATTAATTAGATTTAAATTATTAGATAAAACTAATGAATTTTATAATTTTTGTAAACTTAATTTTGATTATTCAAATTGATCTGAATTATAATCATATATTGATTGACGAATTTTCGGTTTAATTTCGGTATTGAAATTATTTCTATAACTATTAATATTTCGATAAATATCGCTAAGATTTTTATCGATGTCATTAATTGATAAATTAATAGCTAAGGGATAGTTAGATATAATATAATAAGTAATCATTGGTAGTCTAATAGTGGATTTATATTTTATTTGTGTACTAATTTGATATGATTTATATAATGCTATTATAGACCATAAATGCCAACACATTATTAGAAAACATGATAAAAATATTAAACAATTAATAAATTGTTTATTAATATTAATGGAAAAATTAGGAAAATTTAGTCTAATTGTTGTTAAACTAGTTTTTAATTTATTTAGTTTACTGATTGTTATTTCAATTACTGATATTATTACTGAATAATAACTATAACCCCAAAACATACCCATAAGTCCTCCCAATTCACACCAATAACTAATGGCTGACATCATTGGCGTATATATTACTATTAGTTTCAAGTGTCGATTAATAGAAATTATTAGATTTTTTATACCAATATTAGTAATTTTGTTAATATTTGTACGCAAAATATCGTATGAATATGTATTGCAATCGCGTTTACATTTTTTTTAGTAATTCAACTAAATTGTAATCAACAAAACAATCAGTTATATTATTATTATGATTATTGCTTATATTATTATAATTATTAATTATGGATAAAATTGATGATTTATTTTCAATAGGATATTGAATCCAATAGTAATTATAATTACATTTTCTATACTCTCTATCAGTCATTATATTTAACATACATTCCGTCCGGGATTTTGGTTGAATTGGTTGTCCATTAGTTGATTGTTTAACGCCATCGATGTTGTTATCATCATATGATTGGCAATCAGTCTGATAGGGAAACGGTAGATATTTTTGCAGATATGTATTAATCATGAATAATGATATAAAATTTTCATTATTAATAATATTCAAATTGTTTGTCTGAAAATGTGTCGGTGTATTACTTGTAGAAAATTGAATTTTCATTGACATATTATAAATAAATTTTATTTGAATATTATTTGTTATATAAGCAATTTGTTTATATTGGGTTAAGTTATCCTGGTTGTACATTAATCCTAGACATGGTCTACCCGTATAGCTATAACGTATATAATCATTACCATTGAAATGATTGCATTTTCGATAATAATCGCCAATAATAGTACAATCAAACAATTTATTGTTAGTTATTAGTAGATTTTTCAACCAATATTGTCCATCAAAACACACTGTTATCGATGGTATAATTGATACATCAATCAAATCATACGTTTTATTGAAATATAATTCATTGTTTGTCTGATATTTCAAATACTCTGTTGAATGAATTAATATTTTATAGATAAATAATATCCACAATAAACTGATAATAATTTTAATTTTCATAATTTTTATTCGAAAAAAATAATGTCTATTTTATTAAAAATTAGTTTAACATAAAAAAATATTATTACTTAATATGAAAATATTTATATCAATTCTCTGACTTAAACTACAACTGATTAAAACAAATTTTACAAAACTTTATATATATTTATATTTGTTTCCCAATTAAATGTTTTGATAATAATAGTAACTACTAGTAACTAAATGTACGAAAATATATAATATATTTGTATTATTCAACAGAAATATTTAAATAAAGTATTTAAAAAAAAAGTTTTTTGTTAATAAATATATAGATAAAACATTTTGATATTATAAACAGTTTACAGTATTATAGTAACAAAAATATTATTTTAAATATAACGTATAATAGAATATTTTAATAGTAATTTAATAAATTTTTTTTAGTTTATTGTTAGTATTATAATGAAAAAATAATTAATTCATTTTTTTATTATTATAGATAATGTTATAATTATGCTAAAAATATTATATTATAATTGTTTTTATTATAAGACTAACAATACAATTAAAATTTATTAAATTATTTATTCTATTGTAGAATAGTTATTGAATATATAATAGCAATAAATTTATTTTACTAATTATATTAAACTTATTTTAGTGATTTATTTAATTATTTCTATTCAATACAAAACCAGTTGAGAATGCTAGAAAGCATTTCCACACGAATTCCTAATCATAATTAAAAATTAAATTTAAATTAAAAACAGCAGCTCCGCTACGTCATAGCACACCAAACATTCGTCAATCAAAGTCCCGACTTTAAAAATTTAATTAACCATTTTTGAGATCAAGGAATCCGATAAACATAAAATAAATTGGTTTAGACAAAAAAAGAGTATCGTTAAATTTTACTTTTTTATAATTGTTATATATAA